AGAACGCAGCAGAGCACGGGGAAGAGGAGCGAGAGACGGCGGCGGCGGCAGCCGGCCGATGGATGCGCGGCGGCGGCACACTCCATCCTTAGCAGCCCTTCCTGGAAAGCCCAGCATTGCCCGACAGTGGACGGCCGCGAAAATCAGGCCCAGAACTTTTTTGTTTTGAACAAAAGTGGCTGGAGCCACAGCCCACCAGGTCCAACTCGACAACTTCGAGCATTCATACGCGAAAAGACTGTCAGTTAAAACTTTGATTGAGTCTCAAAAAAAAAAAAGGTTAAAACTTTGATTGGAAGCAGAGTATACTTTCACCTAGTCTAGACCTAGTCTAGTTATTATTATTACTACTAAATTTGCATCAGCACAATGCAAACACGGGAAGCGCGATGAAATTTCTGTCGGTTATTATTTTCCTGAACAAGTTCAGTCAAATATTATACAAAAGAGAAAAACACACAAGCCAGACTGAACTTAAGAGCCATGGAATTGGCTCCATTAGAGACTCAGCAGAAGGCTCGAGCAAGTATATATGTTAATAACAACCACAACCACAAAATAAATCACACGTTCAAACAGTATATTATTTGTTGAAGGAAAACCCCACAACGACAATACAAGGATTGAGAGAGGGGTCATCAACTCAAGCATAGTAGGATCAAATTCTGCTGCATAAAAAAATCCAAAGGTAAGTGGATGTAATGAATTTAGAGCAAACTTTTGCATAAAGAAAGGACCGGCACCTTCAGCATCTGTGACAATTATTACAACAAACAGAACCGGCACGGCAAGAAGCAGCTGGTCCTCTGATAACTTAACAAGCCCAAACCGTAATACTACAAGCGATGCTGCAGATTCATCAGAACCAACAGCAATCAGCATGCATCTACATATTATCAAGTCTGAAATAAAAATAATAGTGATACGTCTCAAAGCAACAGCCTGCTCATTACACATAATGAGATTATTATTGTCGATGCACCTTGTGCATTGAAACGTAGCTTGAGCCTTTCAAGCTTTGGCATTGCCCCTGCATCAAAGGTCAGGCAGGATATCCAGCAACAGCTAACTGTAAATTGCTTCAGAGCAGGGAATCCAGTACCAAGGATGATGATCTTATCTTTAGGAACTCCTTTGATGTACAAGTGGAAGAAGACAAGTGGGGCAGCTGTGAAATAATTCCAATATCATCCTCTAGAACCTCCTTAACATGTAGACACAGGTCATAGAGGCCACGGAGTTGGCAAAGCCACTCTGGAACTCTTGAGAACCAGAAACCACCATATATATGCAATTTCTGGAGATGACAGAAAGAAGCTGGGACAAAACAGAGTATATCCAAGCATGCATCCATAAGAAAATGATCTCTAATACTTAGATATTTGAGGTTACAACTAAATAGCGTAACTCTAAACAGTGAAAAATAAATTCAAATATCTGCCATATTAGTGGATTGGTTGGATTGGAACCAAATTTGGCAGATCTCTACTAAGAGGAAATCTACCTGTAAATCAAGAAATTCAAGAACTTAAATAATATGCCCTCTAGGCTCTAGGCTTTAGCATGGTGTTAAATATCTGTCATATTAGTGGATTGGAACCGAATTTGGCAGATCTCTCCTAAGAGAAAATCTACCTGTAAACCACCATATATATTGCTGATCTTGTCATCAATCGGGAAAAACTTCTATTATATTCAACCAATGTAGCCTGACAACTTTTAAGATCAAACATCAGGCCACGTTATGAGAAACACTGGAAGAAAAAATATACCAGCCATTGCTCAGGGTCAGAATCCCAGCGATCCAGCAAAGGCAGAAGAAATCATTTCATATATTGACACATGAAATCAACCAGAAAAGTAGCTTATTCAGATATTGGCATTCATCAACAGACTAAAATTGTTGTATTTCTCCAAAAAAAGTATCTAGCTTCCAGTTCTGCTCCTAAAATACTAAAGCGAGTTAATAGTACACCTAACAGAGAAACCAATATGAAAGGCACCGAAAGGACCACAACGAATTAAAAAAAATTCTCGAATACACAAAAGCTTTGCGTATCATTATATTAAGTAGAAGAGTTTAGACAAATATACAACGCGTTTATATCGACGTCAACCTAACACAGCCGCAGCTGGACCATTCTAGCAAGAGACTTCTAGATTCGATATTACATTAAAGGAAACAACCAATACCGACACAACGGTGCGACCTAGGAGGTGACCTTGCGTCTTCGCGGCTGCCTGGACCGAACAGGCAGGAAGAGCTCGTCCAGCGCTTCGGCTTCGGACGCAGTCAGGTCGCCGCCGAAGAGCCTGTCATAGGCCTCCAGCTCCGACGCGGTTGGCGCTGATGGACCCTTGATGAAGCCCATACGCTGCATGATCAGCACCTCACCTCGCTTGGAAGCAGGTACTCGGTGAATCAAAATAAATCATGGGGCAAACAGGGACCCAACTTATCAATTGATCACAGCTTCCTAGACAAACCAAATTACCAACAACAAAAAGGATCAGATTTGGACCAAGCCACACTTGCAGTTTCATTGGACAGAAGTTTTCATGAGGCACTTGGCATCCTGTTCTACCAAAACATGAAAAAATCAAGCAGGATGCAACAGCAGAACAATGCGCTTCAAATGATTTGGTGACACAAAAGAAAGCAGCACAACACATTATGAGAAACACTGAAAGAAAAAATATGCCAGCCATTGCTCAGGGTTAGAATCCCAGACATCCAGCAAAAGTAGAAGAAATCGTTTCATTCAGGAACCAAAGAGATCAGGTTCTCTTCCAAAAACCAGATGTCTGTCGCACACAAAAGGACGTTTTAAGTTCCACCCATGTTAAGCTACTCTATTTGAAATTGCAAATAAATTTAATAGATTTCCTAGCTATTTAAAAAATGTCACAAGGAAAGACGTAAGATAAACAAAGATAATTATAATTACACAGTATACACGATGCTAGTGCAGATTTTTTTTATAGAAATTAGTGCAGATTTATTGGAAGAGAACTGAAAAGAACGTAATATCTATTTCTAGAAAAACGTAATCAGGACTTCTGATTAGTGCAGGTTTATTGGTATATGTTTCTTCCGTGGAATTTTATATACACAGTACCAGCTAATATAAAGAATAGCAGTAAATAAGGCAGCAAGTGATTAGACGGGTGATTAGGCCAGGCAAGCCAGCAGCTGCAGCTCGGCGACCGTTTTCGTGCGCCCGAGCCGGGGGGGGTCGGGGGTTGATGCCTGGGACAGGCAGCTCACCAGGGGTGCATCCAAATACCGCACAGGCAGCACCCAGTCACGCCTCAGTCTCCTACTCTGAAAAACAGAGCGGTAGTACTTCCGCTATCAGGTTGACCACCGGTGGGTTAGCAGCGGTATTACTTCAGTCCCCTAGCTGCGCCATGTTCGTTTGGCTGATAAGACATAACTGAAAATACTGTTGGCTGATTTATTGTGAGAGAAAACTACTGTTCGTTGGCTGAAAAACTACTAGATTATACAGTGTGAATATCGGCCTCGTTCGGCTTACATTAAATCCGGCTTGTTCGGCTTCTTTTTTTAGCCGGAACAGTGTTTTTTTTCTCACAACATTTTCAGCCAGAACAGTGTTTTTCAGTCAAGTTTCAGCAAGCCGAACAGGGCCAAATTGTTCTTCTGGCATTCTATACCACTAGTAGCAGTAGTAGCCTAAGTCTCGGATGGGTAGGAGTGGCTGTAATAGCGAAAAATAAAATCAGTCAAACAGTTCCATGGGGCTCACGTGTGCACACGTAATTACAACGTACTCCCTCCGTCCTATAATATTTACATTTCTAGGTTTGGGCATGTACACCAAGACAGATGTAAAAATGACAATTCTGCCCCTATAAAGAGCCAGGCGACGGAAAGAGGAACAGTTGCAGCGGCGACGGGAACCATCGAGAGACGGAGCGAACAGATAAGGCTGAGCGTCCGTTTTTTTTAAGAAAAGAGAACGAGTAGCCAGGAAGTGGTGGAATGATCTTCTTTCTGTTTTTATTTTATTCTGTTAGCTCTACAGCTGTGCCGGGCGTCAGACTTTGTGTCAGACTATGCTCTGCATCCAGTTATCTCGACCGATCATTTTGGGAAAATTTTTGAATCGGATACGTGCAAATATTAGCGGAAGGAGGGAGTATTGGGATAGGAGCAGTAGTTGGAAAAAAAAAACTACAGCTTCCTCATACGTTAGAATGAGCATTAAAATGTATGCCATTTTCAGTGATTCTGCTTGTTGGCATCTCTTTTGTACAGCAAGCTGCAAACAGCAGCAAAAAAGTTTCGAGGCCTCTGGCTTCATATTCAGATCCAAATACATCCAAGTGATTTTGTAACCAAGCTAGCTAGAGATCAGAGACATCCATTACTTCTCTCCATGAATAACTACTTATTACAGCCCTTCCACCAGTAGATAAATAACAAATTCAAATTACAACCCTTTCACCAGCAGGCAAACAAAAAATCCAATACTAGACCAATTCTATATAGGCACGGCAAGGCCTACATTTCTAGTAGTATAATCTAAAGGCTCAGCAGTTACAAATTCTTGCAAATGGAGTGGACTAGTATCTGCCTAAACAAATACTCAGTGCATCGACCAAAATTGTTTTTGGATATGCTGTAGCAGGCCAAGAAAGCCCCGGCACGGCCAAATGCTGTGCTGCCCACTCTCAGTGTGCACACGCAACTTAATCTCAAACAACTCATATTATTCTTTTGTGCAAGAAGGGAGTATACTTGTACAAGGAGTATATACAAGGAAAAGAAAGTAATAATAATATAGTAAAACAAGCATTCGACACAAAAAAAGAGCATCTGCAGCTAATAATTGGATTGGAAGCAGCGTATATATTTGTTTCAATCTACATCGGTACGAACTAAGAAATAGTATAACCGTGAAGAGCCATTCAATTCATCTTCTCTGATTTAACTCTGCTAGTCTGCTTGAGACGCATCACTATTGAACTCCTCTTTACAGCTCTTCACAACGACATGAATGACTAACTGCTGGGTTACATGGATCAGTATCAATGGATACTCGACCATGATCTGTCATGTCATCTGCGCCATTGAACCAAAAATCAAGTCATTGTTGACAAAGAAAACGATTAGGTCTTGTTTGAACTTTGAAGCTAGCTCCTCTCCAACATCAAGCAAATAAAGCATGTAATGTGCATCAAAGCAAGGAATGACCATGTGTACAAAGTGTCCATACAGAAGATTACATTGAGCATCATCGCCTCCAAGAAAATGTGTATGCATTATATTACTGCCATTTGACGCAGAGATAGTGACAGTGAGATAAATTAATTCTACGGATAGTACTCACAGAACAAAACTATATTGATAGAATGAGGAAGGAAATCAACGAGCTCAGACAAAAGGGCAGAAACACGTGTGTACAGCTAGTATCTATCATAGTACTAATACTAAAAGTGTTCTGCCACATGCCATAGTGCCAGCAGAGATGGGGGGGGCATAAAGTCATAGTTATAGGTACGTACCAGCTGTCATTTTGACCTTCAAGTGCTGCAGCTCACATCCGCCATCGCCATTCTGCTCCTCAACTTGAATTGCTATAGGCCACTTGATGTTGCAGGACAACCTGGGTGCATGTAAACAGAGTTCCTCAATGCATCACTTTTTTGAACGCAATGGCAGGAGCTCTGCCTTTCAATTAAGATAGAAAAAGAAAGTTTATGTACAAGCAAGGACACTCGAGATTAGGGTTTCAAACCCCCACAAGCATGCAAAGTAGGGAAACGCATGGCCCAAAAGGGGTGGGGGCAACAGCTAAACATAAGCGAGTTCTCTCTTCATTTGCTCTATGTCTTCCTTTATCCTTGCGGCCACTTGCGGCACCGTTTCTATCTTGTTGTCGAAGATTCTCCTATTTCTCTCTTTTCAAATATTCCAAAAGGTGTAGATTACTACCCCGTTAAGCCGTCTACGCTCGGATCTTGGCACTTTCCTCGCCACCTCTTCCCACCATGACCTGATATTGGTGGGGTCCACCTGGGGTTGCTGTTGAAGTTGAGTGAAGTTTTCCCATGAGAGGATTTGATCCCAAACCACCTTTGCAAAAGGGCAACATAGGCATAGGTGGATGCCGGTCTCTAAGGGACCATTGCAGAGCACGCATTGTTGTTGGTGTGGCCACCCTCTCCTCTGTAGGTTTTGCGCCGTTAAAATTTTATCTTGCACTAAGATCCAGGCGAAGATCTTGCATCTGTTCTCCACATGCGCTTTCCAGATCAAATCCGTACGGAAGGGGACGAGCGAGCCTTTGAATTGTATTCTGTAGGCCGAGCGGGTGGAGTAGTTCCCATCATTGGTCCATCGCCAGATGATGGTGTCCTGGACGCCCTGTTGTAGGTGCACATCTTGTATCCGTATCCAAAGGGACACAAACTCCTCTATGTGGACAGCCGAGGTGATTTTCCTTCCTAGCTTGTGCATCCAATTGTTGATCCGGAGTTCTTGTTGCACCATTCGGTTTCTCCTTGAAATTAGGCGAAACAAGTTCAGGGCTAGGTACCTAGGAGCTTGTCCATCAAGCCAATTGTGGTGCCAAAACTCAGTCTTTGCACCGTCCCCCAAAGTTATAATGATTGAGGAGTTGAAGAGGAGACGATCATCATCAGAACATGGAAGCTCCGAGCCGCTCCAAGACTTGGAATCGTCCACCCATTCCTGCCAAAGCCATCGCAACCGGAGGGCTCTCCTAAATCTATCAAGGTCCGGGACACCTAAACCACCAAGGTCTTTTGGCCTGGTAACTGTTTGCCAGTTAACTAGGCAGTGTCCGCCATTGGCATTCTCCTCCCCCTTCCACAGGAACGATCTCCTGATTTTGTTGATCTTTTTCTTAGCCCACGCAGCTAGAGGAAACACCGTCAGGTGGTAGGCTGGCATGGAGGAGAGGACAGAGGTTAATAGAGTGAGGCGCCCCGCTCTGTTAAGCCATCTTCCTTTTCACTTGGTTAACCTTTGCCCAATACGGTCTATGAGAGGTTGCACATGGATCTTTTGCAGTGATCTGATGTGGAGTTGCAGCCCCAAATACTTGCATGGGAAGCCCCCTCTAGTACTGGTGAAAGGTGACAGGACTTGGTCTAGGTCTACGTTTGCACAGCTGATCGGATGCACTGAGCTCTTTTGTAGATTAATATGGGGTCCCGAGAATGTGCCAAAAGCCTGTAGGATGGTTTTGACGGCTTCTACATCGTCTTTTGTCGGGCTGATGAATGCTGCTCTTTTGTTGGTTTACCATCCACACACAAACTGGTTATGCTCAGAAATGCCAACCATTAGAAACGACAATAATTTCATGAACTAGTAAGTGCACGTGCATCTCTGACTTTCTTCAACAAATTATATGCGGTCTCAACTTTGTCCATATCCAAAAGCTTCTTGTTCAGTTTGCTGTAAACAATTTTCCCAAGACAGAAGCCATTACACAGTTATTCCTCCACCAGACACAGCAGCATCAACCTTACCCACATTGCAAAGCCCATTTACAACAAACTCGTAAATCTCTTTTATCAGGTTGATATAATGATATCTGCACTCCTGCATCTCTTCTCAAATATCCAAAACAAATCCACTCTTCGCAAATTTAGTCAGCTTTTCTAGCAACAGCTTATAAGCTTTCAAGGATATTACACAACCAGCATTCCTACTCTTTTTGATATCATCAAAGCAGCATGGGGTGGTCCAAATGTACACAATAGATTGATAAATGATGTTATCACCCCGGTATTTGGCAGAACTCCTCGAGCCAAACATGTCATCAAACATGTGGAGTGCATCAGCTAACCTACGACCTTTCAGAAAGGCTTTAATTATCTTGGGGTACGTGTCAACGTTTGGGGGACAATTCTTTTCCATCATATCCTTGTAATCCTTGATGCACATATGCAAATCCCCAACAGAAATAAAATTGAAAATAAGTGCATTGTAGGTCACCGTAGTTGGACCATATCTCATATGTACCATATTCTCAAACTCCCTGAGTGCGTCTCAGTCTGCCCGGCTCTGCCCGATACCGCAATTAGATGGCAATGTGAAACCACATCTGAAACCAGCCCATCCTCCTGCATCTTTGTCCAAACCTCCTGCAATTTATCTACACTCTAAACCTAGCCCAGCCACCCATGACATCATTGTGCACATGGTTATCAAGACCAAGCAACTCCTTACGAGCAGCCTGCAAAAGCGAGCTAGCAAGACCTACATGTGACCTCCAGGAAAGATACCTGATGAGGACGGTAAATGCCTCCTTTCTGTGGCAGGCTTTCCCAATTCTAAGGGGGTGTTTGGTTGAGCCTTCTAAATTTTAGTCGCTATACACTAATTATAAAACTAATTACATAGTTTCGAATCTTTTGAGCCTAATTAGTCCATGATTTGACAATGTTTGCTACAGTAAACATATATTAATGACGGATTAATTAGGCTTAAAAATTGTCTCGTGGAGTACTGACGAATTACATAATTTATTTTTTTATTAGTATCCGAACACCCCATGTAACATTCTCCCGACACACCTCCTAAACTTTAGTAGCCGGATCCGGACACCCCTTAAATCCAAATTGGTCGGTACTGAGCACCTCAACAGCCCTACTGACATGCCTAGTGGCAACTAGGCGATCCACGAGGACCTCCAGCATCTTCAGGTCCGGGAAAATGTAATTTCTGCGCATGATCTGAAGGGCGCCATCGAAAAATCAAAGAATTTTTTCCTCCCCAATGCCCTGATGACAATGTTGCAGGTGTGGACGGATGGGCGAGGTTTGGAGGTAGTTATCACCCAGTCGAAGATGACAGTGGCAGCACCTCTGAGGTCACCGGCATCGACGACATTGGCAAGCACCTCCGGTGAGAATGCCATTGCGGCGCCAAGGCCTGTGGAGGATAGCGCCCGGTAGAGCGCGGTGTGACCAGGGGGTTTGCAGAGGAAGACCCCACGGAGGCAATCTGCGGCAGATAGGAGCATGGGGGTAAGCAGTGGATGGGGGTCAGGAGGAGAGTTGGTAGGATGAAGAATAGTAGGGAGTGGAGGTGGATCGGTAAGGGGAGTGGAGGGGACGGGGCGGAGTGAGGAGATGACCATGTCATCAGCGGAGGCGGAGGTGGACTAGCTGTGACAACTTTGGAGGAAGAGGAGGCACCGGGCCGCCATCTGTTTGCCTCCTCAGCAACCCCTTCACGCTCAACGACAACTCGATCGGTGCACTTTGTCTTTCGCAGCGACAATCCTGGTCAGAGATAGGAAGGAAACCACCACGTCCAGTAGTACCCGTGGTTGCGAATGGCAGATGGCTTGGGAAAGACGATGCAGAGATGCAATGGCGAGAGGGGCGGAGCTTGTGAACCGTGTGCCAAACACCACCACAGGCAGCGTATTCACACCCATCTCCTTGAGGGCATCCCACCTGACATGCAGCAACAGATGTTTAGAATTAGTTGAAACATAAAGGTTTAGAGCTTGCGGAAAAGGTTCAAAGGTTCAGAGCTTGTGAACTGTGTGTCAAACAAGCACACAACTTCACCATGATTTTTCCAATTCATTGAATAAAAATGTCAAGACCACAAACTTGCTGTTTGGTTCAACTTTTTCATGCTAACCAGGGACGAGGAGAAATCATTTTGATCTAATCAACTGCAACTGATGATTCTCAGTTCTCATATGAACAAGTAATTTCAGTTAGATGCAATATTAAAAATCTTAGCTCCGCAAGAGAACTTCCATAAGCTAAAAACTGAACTCCACTTTTACAAAAAATAGCACCCGATGGTAAATGATTGGTGAATTTTGCTTTGGGAAATTGATAAAAGGCAAGTTCTTCACAGAAAAGGTGGTTTTGTTAAATTGACGCTGAAGGTCGAAAGAGCAAGAAGCATTCAGCAATTCAGCACTGATTTTAATCACAAACATCTCACAACTGCAAACTGTTGAAAGCGTCGCTGACTTGAACATGATTAGATCGACTCTCCGTAAATCATAAAAATACATTGCCCTGCTCCCCAATGATCTCACTCTGAACAGAAATCAGAGCTGCTACGTGACACATGTTTCTCATTTGTTCCAGAAACAAATATATGTTCTTTTCTTATTATTACAAAAAGGACTTGAATTTTAGCTAGCTAGATAGATCCTTTCATCCTAACAACCTGAGGAATGACCTTCCTTCTCTGGAATCATAGAAAATGCAATGTAAGCTCAGTGAGAAAAGCTGATTGTGTGAACGTGTCAATGGCTTAGTGGTCACAGGTGCCTTAGTAGCACCACAGGTCCCAGGTCCGACTCCCCGTGGGAGTGAATTTAACTATATATTAAAAAACACCTCTCATCGGTTGTGTTCCTCTGAGTTATATGTGTAACCATCTGAGCCATTTTTAGCGAGATGCACATAGCCACGGGCATGTATCACGGGGCGCTCGGTGGCACGTCTAGGGCAGCCAGCCTTCGAGGTGTTTCTCGGCCTGCGTGCGAGAAATAATGCCGCGCGGGCAGTCTTTCGCCGTGGGTCATTTTTTTCGAAAAGCTGACAATGAAATTTTCTTTAAAGAGACCAAGCTAGCTTCTTAAAAACGGAACAGTTTTGCAGGACTGGCATGCTTTACAAGCATGGGTTCAAGATACTACTGCATTCTTTACACCTGCAAGTCTGCAACTTCGATGAGCACAATGCAGTGCACCAGCGACTGAATGGATGGATCTGCTCCAGCTAATGTTTCAGCTACTTATTGTACTAGCCCAAGATAAAAGGCATTATTATTTCACTATACAGGAATAATTTTAATAGACAAATATTGATTTTTTTTCAGAAAGAGATGCTGTGCTGAAACAATTGAGATCACAAGCACCACATCTAATCGAACATTGCTATCTGCGTGTCTCATCCAAATGAATCGCTCAATCGGGAAGGAGAGTAAAAGAAACAGAGGATTAGGACCTGTACGGCTGTACCTCTTGGAGAGACACGAGGAGGATAGGAGAGGATGGCGGCCTTGTTCGGCTGCCCTTACCCAGCTTATCCGCTTCTTTTTTCATCGGACCAGTATTTTTCTCTCAAAAAATCATCCGAAATAGTATTTTTTAGCATGAACAGTGAAATCTTCCTGCCAGCCGAACGGCCCCGTGGAATGCAGATCCTCGTGGCCGCTAGCCGCATGCCTTATGGCAGGGACGGACCCAGGATGCAGAGGTTAAATATTCAAAATGCAAACAAGTAAAACAAATGTATAGCCTAATATTTGGCGTGTATATAATATTAACTAGGTAGTGTGTCTGTGCGTTGCTACGGAACAACTAAACTTTTATACTAAAAACACATAGATCGCACGATAAAATAACAATACTGTGAAATTAAATACCCGTGCTAATGCAATGGCGACCTTCGATAGTACAAATCAAACATTCAAAAGAAAATATATGCATCGGTAACAAAGCGTATAGTGCTCGTGCTAACGCCACAGCGGCATTTCAGATATGCTTATGAAAACAACCAAACGAAGACACAAGAGATGAAGGGGCACGGGTGATTAAGGAATTAAAAATAATAACAACCGGCAAGGAATCAAACATGAGCAGGTTATGTCATTTTTACTTAAAATCAAACATTAGCCGACTATTACTGAAGAAATAGATTACCAATGCATTCTTTTAGTGAAACTATGCATTTGAAGGGGATAAAAAGAAGTATCCATCTCATATATGGTCGAGAGATAAAGCTCTAATAAAATAAATCCCACAGCCAAACCAAAATAGAATCAAAGCAATTCAAACATCTAAACAGGTACTAACGAGGATTCCAGTACAGACTCCTTGTTGGTTTGGCCAAAAGTCTAGCTTTTAGCCGCCAGATATGCATACATCTTTTAACTCAGATATGCATCCATCTTTGATTATGAAAGCGTACAGTATCTCAAAACACTTTCCAAGGAAAAAACAGATCATGTGTTCCCCGCCCAAGATGTTGTTCTGGCTTTAATTTCCTTGCTAGGAGGCTTAGAATATAAAGACCAACAGACAGCAGCAACCAAAGCGCTGCAAAAATGCTAAATCATAATTAACCTGGGGGACTTAGAACTGAGTACATTGCTAATTGTGTAATTGCAAGACCATGAGGAATCATCTAGTGTCCTAGAAAGATTGTTATGAACATGGAGAGCCTAAGAGTGCCGAGCTGATTAGTGAAGCCCATAGCAAACAACCCTGGCTTCCTTGCCCTGAAGCAGATTAAAGGTGTAAGGAGATCTCTCACACGATTTCAGCCACAGCCAAACAAGGTGTTCCTGAACTCCAATGACCTGTTGCACAACCTCCAGTACCTGAATGTGTCGAGCAAGAAGAAGAAATGATGTCAGCACTTTCTCATCTTGTTCTGAGTTACAGGGGAAGAGGCATAATCCTACCAGTGCAAGTTAATAACTGCAAGGGTGTATAGAACAAGCAGAAAACTGACACTTTCATATCTTGAGCAATAATTCTAAAAAAATACTCATGCAAGATATAACAACAAACAATTGAACATGTTACCCTAGTACTGTAAGGACAATAGTCCACAGACACTTCCGTCCAAAATCTCCTTTCATCCTCATATACTGATATGAAGCATTAGTGCCAAATGAAACTGTCTTATATTAGACAGTTACCAGTGTTATCTGCTAAAGATGAGCCTCTGGCCTATGTACAAAACATGTTATAAGGAAAACTGATAGCTAAATATGGAATGCATCATCCGGTCAACCTAGGTAGAGAATATGTAAACCTCCCTTGTTCTTCTCGATCCAAAATTCCTACTCAAATAACTGGTTTCCCAGAACAAACATTATTGAAGGCATCAAACATCGAAAGACAAATAGGTTTAACTGATCCAACTTCTTATTTTTCCAAATTATCATCTAAAGCATTCTGGTTGTTGGAAATTTCTAAAAACAAAATACCATCGTGCCGCCGTCGAACAGGGTGGGCCGGTAGAGGCACGCGTATATTAAGGAAAGCACAAATGTTTGGACCAAAGACCTGCATGGAGAGATAGAGGGATCAGCTTCTCGACTGAAACCAGGTGAAAGCATCATTTTTTTCAAAGCACAAGAAAACAAACTCTAGGCTCTCTTTCATGATCCCGTAATCTTGAGCAGCTTTGACCGTCCTTTCATATGTTTGCTTTATTGCATCCCTCTTCAATCCAACAGAAAAAAGAGAGAAATTAGAAGGCATCACAACTGGGAAGCAGAAGGGGGAAATGCCAATGGCAGCAGTCAGGAGCAGCAGAGTTTACTTGAATTTTATTCTCAAAATCCTCCACTGACAACCGCATCAAATTGAACTTTGGATTCAATTCAAGCTCTCCAAGTCTCAAGCTCTATAGATAGCATATATATATATAAGGATTTCATCCTACAAATACTTGTCATCAAAGTTGTGTCAAGTCTAGGTGCTCAGTTGAAAAGTGCACTGATGATAGACATGAAAAATGGTGCTACAAAATTGTTCTACTATCATCTGACATGTGAATGGATTTATGGAACTGTACAAATAAAGTCAGTTTCTGCAAGAACATACCAAACAATAAATTTAAAAAACGGAACACTCTATGCGGCCACATGGTCAGGAAAACTAGAAAATGTATAGTATATCGCCCATGCTAACACTACGGCGATATCTGGTAATACAAATCAAACAACCAAAAATATTTCAATTTGATAAAAATGGAATGGACATATCTGTTACAAAGGTTACCTGCTATTATTCTTAGCCCCCATGGACTCAAGTCACGAATCACAAAACAAAGCAAATTTCCCACTGCGGAGTGTGCAAGATAAAGCAATTAAGCAAGCGGAGCAAGCGGAGCAAGGTATTTCCATTTTCAGACCGCAACATGTCTAATGTAGCATTTGTCCATGCCCTCAATACATCATGCAAACTATTTCCATTTTCCAGCAAAAAGTAGTCGGATGGGTGCTTTTTGGTACTCCCAGCATGTACCTCAAAGTAGTAAGGTGAAACAACCTGCAACTCATGTTCCATTGGTTCAATTCTCAAAGCTCGGATAAATAGGTGGTGATTTTGGAGAAGAGGAGAAAACTCACTTTTCGGCCTTTGCATGAAGAGCATGAGCACAATATGCCGATGGCTTTGATAACTCACCAGAGTACTGCTCGCTGAAATAAGATGAGAAATAGATCCCTGGTCAAAATTACAGTAACCACGATACTGACCACAGAATAAGACATGGAAAATGCAAGTGCATGGTATGATATCTTGGCCTCCAAAACAGCAAATAGAGATCACATCTCACGTTCACCATAATGCGTCATGTTTTTCTTTCTTTTTTTTGTGCCGAAAAGATAATACAGGTGCAGTAGGCCATGCTCACGTCACAGAGGTGCCGAAAAGACAATACAAGTGCACTGTAGGCTCAATTGGGCTCCTGGAAATGAACAGAATGGGAAGAATTAAAAGGGCATGCAATTCCATATCTCACATATTAATAAATTTGTCAAAAACCCAACTCCATGGCAGTTCCCAGGGATAGATACACTAAACCTAATCTCCCTGCTCATCCTACACAAGAAACAATGCAAACAACTACTGCAATGGGCGGTGGCTTTCCATTCTTGGCTTATAAGCACACAGATTAAAAGATACGGCCACCATGTTTGAAGTAAAAATGTTATCACGGACAAGAAAACAAATCGGCAAAATTAAACAAGCACCTCCGCAGATGAATCGTCAAGAAATTAATAATTTGCCACGCTTGGAATAATTTCTGGTACTATGTAGTAATAATCTTTTGTTAGCACGCCTCAAATTTTGGAAATGGATTTGAATCCGAGGAAGAGAGAAATCGAAAAGATTAGTTCAATGATGAGTAGCACGAATGACACGTACATGCCGGCACACGCACCACACAGGCACGTACCTGGATGGGCAACGCGTCCATATCGGCCTGGAGCGCGACAATGGGCGGGCAGCTGGTGCCAAGCGTGGCGACGACGCCGGTGCGCGTGACCAGGTGGCGGAACCCGACACCCAGGGCATCCAGCTCGTCGCGGGCGAGGCGCGCGTAGGAGGAGAGCTTCACGTCGAGGTCGCCCTCCAGCTTGCGCGCCTCACGCCGCAGCTCCTCCCACTCGGACTCCTGCAGCTCCAGCGCCACGGCCGCATCCGACGATGATGACATCATCTCCGTCTCCGGCACCGACGAAGCGCGAGATCCAATCCGGCGAGGGGTCCGGGGTCGCTTGTGACGCGAAGAAGAAGCGGGGAAAGTGGGGAGTACCTCCGATCTAGATCCGGCCGCGGGGCCGTGCCGTCATGGGGAGCTTTGGACTCGCAAGGAGGGTGGGCGCGGTCGGTGTCACGGCCAGCTCCGGGCGGGCGCGGGCTGCGTCGCGGCGAGTTGCGGGCGGGTGCGGCGGCCAGCTGCGGGTGGGCGACGATGGGGAGGCGAGTGGTTTCCTTTTGTACGGCGTGGACTCACGGTGATCATGTGCGGATTGGGCTTTCCTTCTGCGGCGTGAACGCGGTCGCGCGGCGAGCGGCAGGGGATCGTAGGGGAAGGCAGACCGAGGGAACGACGGGTGCGGGATTGCAGGCGTGGGCAGACGGACGAACCAAAACAAATGTCGCACCAAAAAATGTCCACACTTTGTTCTTTTTAGTTGAAGGAGATATCACATAGTAGTAGTAGTTGTACAATATATAGCAGATATAACACATAACTGAGAAGAACTCAAGTATTAGTAAAAGAAACAGAGGTGTCTATTATCTACATTGGAAATTTATGAAAACTTCAGTGTCTATCTAGAAATGTACATCAGTACATGTTCAATTGTTTATACAATGGACAATGATAGATCGGTCCAGCTAATTGCAACTGAGCCAAGCATTTGGCCGTCAGGTTCCAGACTAGAGGCGTTTGAATCTCTATGGATAAAAAGCAGAAAAACGGGAGTTTGGAGATGGGAAAAAACAAACTGACTTTGCGGGGGGCGTGGGTCGTCGTGGTTCGGCAGCGCGCCAGCCACTACCGACCGCCCCCGGCGCCGTGGAACGGCGCACCTGCGAGCGCGAGTCCACGCCAACGCTGTTGCGCACGGTAGCCTGCCGGAGTCAAGCCGCCGGCCGACGGCCGCCGCGTCTAGGGTTAGGAACTTGACAGAGTCGGTTGAACGGATAGCCGTCACCCAACCCAAGTGATGTTACCGGAAAAATTTTGGGCTTCGAACGTGAACGAACTGTGGTAACAATTAGGCCCAATAAGACCCAAAGAGGCGGGCCCGGGCGACGGAGAGTGTTGGGCTTTTGGAGGAATAGACGGAACCGTGCAGGGCTCGGCCTATTTTATTATTATATATTATATTATATTTATATTATATATAAAAACAAAGCCGCAACGGAGGAAAGGATTCAGAGAGGCAGAGACGAGAGAAGTCGGGCGATCCCCCAAATCTCTATTCCCCACCAAACCCTAGCCTCCGCCGGTGTTCCGCGTATGGCGTATCGAAGCCTGGCGACGAGGATTTGGGGCCCTGCGGCTTATGCTCTCCGCCGGCACCCGGGCCCCGTTGTTCCGCCGCCACCACCGGCTGCGGCGGCGCACTCTCGGTTTGTCGGCACCATCCGCAATCAGGTTAATTACAGCGCCCGCCTCCCATCCCTCCTGTGTATTCATCGCTGGCCCAGTGTGCCCACCTTCCGCGCCCTCGCCTTAGCACCGTAGTCCCGTTCCGGGCTCGTCTGACCATCGCCGTCCAGAAGGCCAGATCCCAGAGGCCTCGTCCATCACCGCTGCTGCTCTGTCCTGTTCTGTATCTTTTGCAATCCAACCATCATTTGGCCCAGGCCATTCTCCAGCTCTCCACCGGCCCACTGGCTCCATTAAAATGTTCTGGATAATAATGGAGTTGGATGAGGTCGACTAGAATTTACTTACATGAAACCGTCTGGCCCCGGATTTCCGGATTTGGTACGGTTCTTAGACCATTACCACGTTTACCTTCTGGAGCATCCATTTTGAAGTTTTAGGAAGCTTGATTACTGAAAAAGCCAAATAGATTCTGAAAACAAACCACTTTGTTTTTATTAGAGTAGCATTGGCCTTCCATCTTTATACAGCACACTGGTTACAGCACACTGGTGCAACCGTACGAGAATTTCGTTTTTATTGTGGAGTTCATTATTTATTCTACTTCTCTTTTGCGAACTCCATTTCCCTTAAGAGATAATTTTCCCTATGGTCCTGTAACAGCTTTGATATGGACTGGAGTCTTTTATTAGTCCCTAATAAATTGTGGATTAGGATGTAATGATTTTTTTGGCCATTTCCACATATAGTTAATGAGAGACAATTTATTCTTTTGATTTATTAATTTAATCTTGTTATTTCATCTAGAGGTCATAGCAGTGGAGCAGAACGCAATATTTTAGTTTCCAGATGAATGTTATATATGATTATGTTTGACAATTTATCTGAAGTCCAAAAAATGGCTCATGCATAAATAGTTGATTTCCTTTCTGATTTCACCTTCGTGTCAATAGCAGTACAACAATAGGGGTAATTTTGTTACCAGATGAAATGCTATAAATGATTATGCCTACCTATTCTTGGAGTTCCTGATGATCATAGATGATCTTGATCTATAAGTATAATTAGTAAAACTACATTATAATTCATGAAGGATCTTGACATGGAGATGCTTTAAGTCCCATGGTTGCTCTTGGACTCTTGATTGAAAAAGTTTCGACTCCTGTGCAACGCACGGCCAAAACCTTAGTGAGAGAGGAGATAAAATTCGTCACTGCACATAGCATGTACATGACTGGTGCAAAGCATGGACATTCTTGTGTCTCATGGTAGTCTAGATTTGATGATTGATGAACACCCCTGGGTCCATTACTTTGGGTTGCATTCTCTGGCGCTGTGTGTCAAACTTTTGTAGTTTTGTGCGCATAGCTCCACCAACTTTGTTTTTTTCAGAAATAGTACTGTCTTCAACCTGTTAACATCCATGTACACAAAGTCATGTTGCTTCATTTATGTCTGGGGTCTCAAGAATAACTCAATTCTTACTGTTAACATTCGAGCACGCACGTGTGCTCCGCATTGCATGCCTTTTTGACTTGCCCTTACTGTCATTGCTAAATTTTAAGGGAAAGCATGGCATCAAGGTGGCTTTTGGTTCATAACTGATATTAGCTACGTAATAGCAGCAGTAGTTATGATAGCTTTATTTATTTTATTGATGCTGCCAGCCAAGCTTATTTGTCTTACCTACCTTCATCATATTGTTCTTTAAACTGTAGGCTAAACTGCTGAGCAACATAAAGAGAATTCGACAGGAAGCTGCTGTAGGCAGTCATAATGCCAGCCTGAGCAATGCAACCGTTACGCTCCTCCTCCCCCCCTCGCCCCATCCTTCCCCCGCTTCCGCCACCCACCAGCCAGATCCGCCATTGTCGGCCATGCCCCCGATCCCAGCGTGTCTCTACGCTCCCCCTCAAATGGCCGTCCTCCCCATCCCGCTAGCGCCGCCCGCGATGGCTCATGGCCACTGATCGAACAACCCTACTGCCATTGTTGCGTCCGTCCCTGACGCTCTCCCCACCATCCGCCCCGGTCGGTCGTCGCTTGCCCTTTCACTGCGGCGACGAGAGTCCTCTGCTCCCTTTTCGAGGCAACTTCTCCGCCTCGGCACCACCTCCGACGGGTCCGCTGCTGCTACTGCCGGGTCGGAATGGACGGGAGGCACGTCGTCCCGACGCGTTAGGTTCGCCGCTACCCTCTTCTGCCGTCCGGGGAGGCGTTACTACCCCACCAGCGCTGCGCCTGCAAGATCCTGCCTCAGATCCGCGTCGGGGAGGAGCAGCGCTCTTTCCGCCGGGCTGTCATCTCCAACTATCCGGTCTCCGCCCGGCTTTGGGGGTGCTTCCCCTTCCCGAGGGGGGAGACCCAGACCTGTCACCGGGGCGTGGCAGGGGGCCGGTGCGGCGCATTCAAGCGAAGGTGAGGAGGGCTGGTCTATGGTGCGCCCGCGATACTGGTGGCGTCTCCCCGGGTTCAAGACCAAGGCGCATTCAACACCCTCAACCACCCAGGTCACTTCAGCGCGTCATCACCTCAGTGTGGAGCTGCTGCGGCGCTTGCGAGGTAAATTCTTCCGCTGCCTCGCCCCTGGCCACGCCGCGGCGACCTGCAGGGACCCGGTGCGCTGTTTCTCGTGCGGCCGCTGGGGACATAAAAGCAATGTGTGCGCTACAAGATCTTCAACCGCCTGGCACCAACCAACACCGCCCAAGGCTGCTCCTCCTCCCCTCGACGAAACAAACTTCCCACCTCTCTCAAGCGAAGGCATGGCTGGCCCGAGGACCCCTCCGTCAGTCCCCCTGGACACTGTCGCAATGGGTTTCTCTCCGTGAGACTCAATGGACCAGAGCTCGACCGCCTCTCCATGCATGGCATGGTGGCTCGGCTGGGGAAACCGCCGGTGGTTGAGCCGGAGATCATCAAGCGGGCCATCTGCCACCAGTTTCCGGTTCGTCCGGAAGATGTCTCCGTCGTCAGGCACGCGCCCGAGGACTTCTTCGTCGACTTCAAGCACCGGCACCACCGCGACGAGGCGGTGTCGCGGGGGACCTTCCCCTATCGCAACCTCGACATCCACACAAGGCCATGGCAGCTGGTGACACACGGTGAAATCTGCGACCTCAAGTTCCGCGTCCGCCTATGCCTCGAAGGCATCCCCCTCCACGCCTGGAGCGAGAGCATTGCCAAGAGGGCGGTCGCTAGAGCTTGCGACATCGACTACGTTGAGAAGACCTCGCTGGACCGTGCCGACACCAGGGCACTCTGCGTCTGGGCCTGGACGCACAACCCGTCTGACATCCCAAAGGTAACCTGGCTGACTTTGTCATGCAGAAAGAAGGAGGCCCACTGTTCGCAGGATACCCGCGGCCGTCGGGGACTCACCTTCAGGGTGCTGGTGCACCTTGACTTGGTGGAGGACCCTCCGGGCAGAGACGGCCGGGCCGCTGCTCCCTGAGTCTTCACGTGGGACTACGGGATCGTGGATGGAGAAAGGATGCCGCGCGACCGCCACGACCCTCCACCGGCTGACACCCGTGGCGGCAACCGCGACGACGACAACGACCATCGTGGGCGCCGTGAACGCCACGAGGGGACAGTGGTACTCGCGGCTCACCCGGCTCGTCGCGGGCGCCAACGGACCATGAAGGAACGCCGGCGTCGACGGTGGCCGCCGACACCAAAGTCCGGAACGTGGGGGTCGCCGTCGACCACTGCACAGCGACGTGGGGGACGGCCGCGGGGATCGCCAGACGACCTCAGGCGGTAACACGGCCCGCAAGGGTGCACAGCAACCGACCCAAGGCGACGCTGCAAATGCTGGCACGGGGGCTCGGCTGCACCTCGTCATCCACCCGGCTGATGCCCTCCGCAGAGCCAGGGGACGAAGCAGGGAAAGGGCAACCCGCCGTAGGCCGCACAGGCGCGCGTGCTCGGAGCCGAGGAACACGACGTCGCGCTCAAAATCACCGTTGCCGCGCCTGCGCTGCAAGTCACCAGACTTCAACGGAGGCAACGGCAGCAACCACCACCCGTCGCCAAGCCCTCCCAAGGTGCGTGCAGAGCAAAGTCAATGCAACGACTTGCCCATCATCCCTTTGGTCTCTGCCCCTCCAACCTGCGAACCGAACGACCCTCAAGTTGCCGCTGCACACGGCACATACGAACCAACTAACGACTCCTCTTCGGGGCACCTCACCGGAATCGTATCTCCTACTTGTATGAATGAACTGCAGGTTCCCCCCACCGATGACCGCGACGTCGTGACACAGCAGCGTGCACGCCTCGCGGCTGACCGACGCTTCCGCATGGGCCAGGTCTACGCCAGGAGGCCAGGCCCTCTCCGCACGCCACGCGCCCACACAAAGCAGGCGAAAGCGCCCGGTGGTGCGTTTCATCGGGCGCGCTTCTACTCCAGCGCCAGTGTCCATGGGTTGTCCTAAACAATGACCCACCGCACACACACATGGCAAATGAACTTCAACAACTGCGCCCGGAACAGAACGCCAACGCCGAGGAGGTAAACAATGCCGGCCAAACGACGAACGCCAATGAGGCTCCGGATCTCGATTTCCTCTGAGGAATTTCACAATCCTCCGCCTCCACCATCTTGCAGTCCACCACGTCGACAAAGACACCAAATCGACGCAAAGAAGCCCCGCCTCTACGGCGCGAAGAAGCGTCCGCATAGCCGCCATGAATTGGCAAAGGGGTGACACCCAAGCGAGGGCCAGGCTGGTGCTGATGAAAAGATTGGGCATCCTCGACAGGGGAGGACCCAGCCATGATGACGCGTTGCTGCGCTACTTCGACTTGTACAAGGGACCACTTAATGACGACGCCGTGAAGGCAATGACGGCTCTGTGTGGCCTCGACGCCGACGCGATCTTGCTGCCGCGATGCCTAGATGACGGATGTCGCAAATGGGTCGCCTGTTGTAATAATGGTAGTAATCGTTTGCCACGGCGGAAGCTCTTCGAGCTCCACATCTTTTGTGTACCGCTTGGGTTCGGCGACGACCAGAGGCCTCATCGCCATCCCACCCAACCGCAACAAACCGTCACCGGTAGTTAGATGTATCAAAACTCGGCGTCAGGGAGGAGGAAGTGCTCAGTATCGTCGTCGTTTAAACTGACCAAATGACTTCGGTTATGTCGGCCACTAAGAGTTGGTGCTCTCGTAATCTGTGTGTGCTTTTGCCGTCGTGGGCTTACCTTGATGCCTATTGCCTATCTTGAACCAACAAATGGCTTCCGACTTGCCTACTCCCCAAGAATTATTGTACGTAGGGTACCATTAGTTGACATATGGCACAAAATGAATTGCGTGTACTTAATTGGAACGTCGAGGGGGGCTAAATGATGGCGCTCGACAGGGACTTGGTTAGTGAGCTCGTGAGAACCACCGGCGCCACCATTGTATGTTTACAAGAAACAAAGATGCAAGCTATGGAACGTAATGTGGTTCGCGCCAGACAATCGGAGCGAAATTTGAAAACTCCTATAGTGTGCTCCCGGTGGAACAAACACGTGGAGGCATCTTCCCAAGCACAACGAAGACTTCTTCGACCTTTCCGACATTGCACTTATCTGCGAACACTATAACCGCGCAAATCAAGATGAGGGCGGATGGAAAAACGTGGCAAATTACGGTGGTATATGGGCGCAAGGGAGGACGCCAAACTTCAATTCCTCCAAGAACTAAAAACATTCCGCACACGGAGAATGATAGATGGCTCATCCTCGGAGATTTCAACCTCATCTACCAAAGCGGAAGATAAAAACAACGCCAATCTAAACCGACGCGTCTCATGGGGGCATTTAGAGCGACGATCGATCATTTGGGACTCAAAGAAATCAAGCTAAATGGCCGCAGATTTACCTGGAGCAATCAACAGCAAAACCCCACGCTCACTAGAATCGACAGACTACTATGTACCCCCGATGGGAGCCGTCCTTCCCATCATGTTTCTTGCACTCCCTACCTACCTTCATGCTCATGTCCGGACCATACACCGCTACTCCGGGGACAACTTGACCACAATCACACCGCTTCCTTCCGCTTTGAAAATTACTAGACTAAGATGGACGGCTTCCAAGATCTTGTTCACGACATTTGAATAGACCGATCCACCCGCTCTCCCGATCAAACGCTTACACATCAAAATGGCGCGTGTGGCAAAAGGCATCAAGCGTTGGAAGAAAGAGAAGATAGGGGATACAAGGATGCAACTTCGCCATAGTGAAAGAAGTGCTACTACAATTAGAAGCGACCCAAGAGCATAGGTTGCTCAACGCCATAGAACTTCACCTATGTCGCCACCTCAAAGCCCATGACCTTTGGACTCGCATGACCATCGAAAAATCAAGAATCGACAGAGAGCAAGACTAACGTACATTCGATGTGGGGATGCTAACACAAAGTTCTTCCACACTCGAGCAAATGCACGCCGGAGAAAGAATTACATACATTGTCTACATACGGATGGGGGGTGCGGTGGATCATCAAGAGAAAGAAAAGGTCATTCGAGAGTATTTTAAAAATCACATTACGCCATGACGCAATGAAGTTTCCACACTAAATTGGCAATCCCTTGGATACAACCAACACGATCTCTCCGATCTAGAGTTGCCTTTCTCCCAGGAAGAGATAAAATACAATATTTTTTCCATGCCTTCCGACAAAGCACCAAGACCAGATGGTTTCACGGGGGCCTTTTTCAAGGCGTGTTGGGAAATCATTAAGATTTATATAATGGCGGCACCTTGAACGACCTATTCAACTTGAACGCCTGTGGTTTTGAATGGCTAAATTCGGTTTCCATCATCCTACTACCCAAAAAGGCGGATGCAACAAGAGTTACTTGATTTTAGACCCATCACCTCGTCCCACAAAGATTACGAAGATCTTCTCTAAGGTATTAGCAAATGACTTGCCCCCCGACTCAACCAACTTGTCTCCAATTGCCGGCGCTTTCATAAAAAAAGAGAAGCATCCATGATAACTTCCTATACGTCCGTATGCGGTTCAAAGGTTGCACAAGCAAAAGATACCGGCCTTATTCATGAAACTAGACATCCACAAGGCTTTTGATACGGTTCATTGGGGGTACCGCTTGAGATTCTCGCAAGCCCTAGGCTTCGGACAACGATGGCGAGAATGGATCTCTATCCTCCTGCGTACATCCACTTCCACACCATTGATTAATGGGCGACGAGGGGACCCCTTTAGCCATGCAAGAGGTGTCCGTCAAGGAGACCCGCTATCACCCATGTTGTTCATCCTTGCTATGGACCCTTTCAACTACCGCTTGACCGGAACAACCGAACAAGGGGTACTCACCCCCCTTCCAATAGCGGCGGCAAAATGGAGAACCTCAATGTATGCGGATGATGCCGCATTTTCATCGACCCCACAAATGACGATGTTCAATCCGTCAAAGCCATCCTAAACGCTTTTGGTTCATTCTGGGCTACATATCAATCTACAAAAGAGCTCGGTACACCCAATCACCGTGGTCAGACGCGTCAATCTAGACCAAGCCCTCTCACCCTTCGACCAGTCACACAGAGGGACCTTCCCTTGCAAAGTACTTGGGCCTGCAGCTACACATCGAGCATTGCAAAAAATACACGTGCAACCTCTCATAGACCGTGATTAGGCGAGAGGTTACCCAAATGGAAAGGAAGATGGCTTAACAGAAAGGGACGTCTCACTCTTGTAACATCTCGTCCTCTCCTCCATGCCAACCTACCACCTCACAAAGTTTCCTCTAGTGCATGGGCTAAGAAAAAGATTGACAAAATCGAAGATCGTTCCTATGGAAGGGGAGGAGAACGCCAATGGTGGACACTTTGCCTTGTTAATCGCCAACTGCTACCGTGCCAAAAGTTACAGGTGGGTTAGGCGTCATCGACCTTGATAGATTTGGGAGAGCCCTCCTATTCACGATGGCTTTGGCGGGAATGGATGGATTTACCACAAGCCTTGGAACGGCTCTGAGCTTCCATGCTCGATGTTGACCGCCTCTCTCTTCAACTCCTCAATCATTATAACTTTGGGGATGGTGCAAAGACTAGTTTTTGGCACCAAAAGCTCGCTCGATGGACACGCAGCGCCTAGGTACTTAGCACCAAACTTGTTTTGCCTAATTTCAAGGAAAAACCGAACGGTGAAACAAGAGCTCGGAACAACAATTGGATACGCAAGCTACAGATTTAAAATCACCTCCGCTGTCCACATGGAGGAGTTCGTGTCCCTTTGGATACGAATACAAGAAGTGCACTTGCAGCAAGGCGCCCAGGACACCATCACCTGGCGGTGGACCGGTGACGGGAAATACTCCACCCGCTCGGCCTACAGGATACAGTTCAGAGGCTCGCTCGCCTCATTCAAGATCAGAGTTGATCTGGAGTGCGCATGTGGAGAACAAATGCAAGATTTTTGCACGGATCTTAGTGCAAGATAAAATTCTAACGGCACAAAACCCTACAGAGGAGAGGGTGGCCACACCATCAACAATGTGTGCTCTGCAATGGCCCTTTAGAGACCGGCCTCCACCTATGCCTATGTTGCCCCTTCGCGAAGGGGGTTTGGAATCATATCCTATCGTGGGAGAACTTCCCTCAGATCCAAAGAAGAACCCGAGTGCAACCCACCGATATCAGATCATGGTGGGAAGAGGTGACGGCGAAAGTGCCAAGATCAGAACGTAGGAGGCTCAACGGAACAATAATCTACACCTTCTGGAACGTTTGGAAAGAAAGAAATAGGAGAATCTTCGACAACGAGATGCATACAGTGCTGCAGGTGGCCTCAAAGATAAAGGAGGATATAGAGCAAAGGAAGAGAGCAATTGAGTATGGGTAGCAGATGACCCCTCTCCGGTGGGCCGGGTGTTTTACACGCTTGAGGGGGGGGGGAGGGGAGGTTTCTTTTCCTTTCCTCGACTATCTTAGCTTGTACATAAACTATCTTTTTCCCGCTTAATTGAAAGGCAGAGCTCCTGCCATATTTTCAAAAAAAAAATGCTTGAACTGGAATATCTGTTGGTAGAGTTGGAAAATGCTACAAAGGTTGCTAGGTGAGTATTCTTTACCTGATTCACTCGTCACATAATTTCAGACCTATGCATTTTCTTACCTCTTTTCTGTTTACTTTTGGAAGGCAGCGCACGGTGGAGTTGGAACAGGTTCGACACCAGAAAAAGAAGGCTCAAAAGATCTTTGGCTTTACTTTGGCTGTGGTACCTTGCATGACAGTGTATTTAGCAAAGCTGTAAATGGTTGCACAAGGCATTTCCCCTTGGGTTATTATATTTATAATTCCCAAGCCCCCTTGTTATTATTATATTTATAATTCCCAAGCTATCACTTTGTCTGTGGATCAGTTTGTATCATGCATGCACAGGATAGCCTTGTCTTGTTATGGACCACTAGTACAAGGCGCGCGCCCTTGCGCACGTCGTGGGCATAGGAAAGATTTTGGAGACAGAGGAAACATGATGGTGTATGTTTACGAATTAATAAGAGCAATAAGAGAGGTAGATATACATCCAAAACGTGTATATTACATTGTATACCCTAGACTTTTATTAATGGTAACTTTGTGTCTACAAACAGTACAATAAATAAGGAAAAAGTTGAGATGAAAATAGAAATGGAAAAAGCTCATCAGATCTTGAGATATCTTCTTCGTAGATTACCTTGCCAGCAAGTCCAACCACCTTTGTGCTGCTCTGAAATCTTTTGAGAGGTAGTCACTATCTGACTGGCTTCAAAGACACTGGAACTATTGCAAGGCAACTGGATTGTGAACTATTATGCCATTGTCAAAATATGGTGAAAATGAGGTTTCTAGAAACTGGGTTATAGTTTATGATAGAAATTAACCATGCAGAGTGAGGCTACTGAACATGAAGGTACGGCTCTCCATGCTCAGACCCTTTTCTTTAAAACACTAATAAAAGCTATCATCATATATTAAATTTACAAAACTGTGAGCTGTATATGTACTAACTATGGTGGGGACAAAATTTAATCGAAGATAATCAAAGGAAAACAGGGGAGAAGCAC